TCACCTTATTGAAAAGCGTCATTCCTGAAGTTGTCCTTTTTTCCATTCCAGCTTCTCTTATCCCAAGCTTGATATTTTCCTGGAGAGAGATATAAAGTTCCATGTGAATACATGTTGATTGAACGTGTATCTAAGTAAAATGTGATCAACTTTACGGGCAGGAGATTGATCTTGATTTCACAGAGAGTTGCGCCCTTGTGCGATTTTTAAACCTTTTGCTTTTTAACGAAGGACAAGCACTCGAAAGGTCAGCTTTCCCTGATTTTTTCCCCTCTATTGTTTGCAAATAATAAACTAAGGTTTCTTTAGGTGAGAATCTTGGTTAGAGTCTTATGGCTAGGAAATGCCTTTATACAAATACACAACTCAAGTGTAAGCTCTCCGTAAATTAAAAGTCAAGAAAACCTTTGGAGAGCTTTTCTTCAGTTCATGTGGTCTCCTTAAATTAGAACCAATGCAATTGAGAAGAATGGTTCTTATTCCAATGAGAAAAGTTGCAAAGTTCCACAGCCATTAAAGCGTCTCGTTCGGAAATAAAGAGCTTTTAATCTAGCTAAAGGAGATGCTGTTTTAGTGAAGGCAGAAAAGGCTTACATTTGTCCTGGAGTTTGTCAGAAAAGACAAGTGTATTGATACTACACAAACTCTAACCTGTGATTTGAGAAAACATTATCCTGTTGTCTGTCTGTCCATGCGTATGACGATATCTTTTTCCAGCTTTATGGCATTGTGTTATCCTTTGAAAGAAAAATACAGTTATGTTTAGATAAGGCTGATATAACTGTTTTATACACAGCTAGCTCATAAGGTCGTTGATTGCAAATTTTCCTCAGTATTGCCACGAGTTTAGTTCTACCCAGGAAGTGGAATAGTGTAAGAATTAAAGTAACGACCCCTCCCCCAAACGAACTCTTCACTCCACGCTCTTATTGGTCAATTGTAGTCTGTGAACCCAAGTAACAGTTTTAAAAGGAGCTAACTGAATGCAAAATACATCGCGAACCCAGGGCTTCAATAATTGAAGAATCAACTGTAACCATTTAGTTTTGTTCTTCCAGAAGCTTCCTTCCCCCAACCAAAGAGAAGATTGACAATTACGATTTTATTCTACGCCAAAATAGCTTGTCCTTGTCTTTTGGGCCCAAGCACTCAGAAAAAATATAGAATTTTCGGTCTTCAAGTTTAAATCTGATTGACAAATAGAAAAGAAAAAGGCACCTCAACGTACAGCGATTCTGACGAGCCTACAAGACAACACCTTAGCTTCGTAGTTTGTTTTGTTATAATCTCCAAACTGAAGTACCACAATTAATTAAAAAGCCACCAGCAGTTGTTTAACTTGCCATTTAAGTGCAACTTATCTCTTCGGAGTTTCGTAAAAAGTGAATGAAAGCAAAATGTCTTCTAAATAACACCGAGTTTAGAGTCTGCGGAATAGAAACGACCTTGAGTTTAAACAGTTTGATACTAATCGACTATCCTCTTTGAAGAAAATTTGTCCAGAAGTTGTTCTTCTCCTGTGGAATAGCGTTTGATGATATCCAGCTTATCCCGTTCTGTGCTTGGCAATTTTAATTTTGCTTGGAGTAAATGAAGTATAATATGAACTGACATACATACTGCGTAACGCATCTGGCGGTAATGATGATAATGTGCGAGGGAGGGGGGTGGGGTGG